ATATGGAGAGGAGATTGAGGAGATATGGAGAGAGCGATATGGAGAGAGGAGGGAGGAGAGAGAGAGGAGAGAGAGAGAGAGAGAGAGGATGGAGAGAGAGAGAGAGAGATATGGGGAGAGAGAGAGAGGATGATGAAAGGCAGGGTGATGACTAGAGGGAGAAAAATATATGTTACAGGGTTATCACTTTGATTCAAACATATGTTCAGCACTCACCAGTACGTTCAAGGCTTTGTACTTCCTCTTGAAGGCCTCTGCAAACTCCCAAACCTTCCGTGTCTCCGACAGGTCCAGAATGTGGACGTATATTTCCTGAAATTACATGATTATTACACTCTGGTTTATAATATCCAAACAGTGTAAAAAGTCCCCCACACAAACATTTTGAGGGTGAGAGAGAGGCCCAAACTCACTCACTTTATTTCCTGACTCCTTGACAATGTCAGCCCTGGCCTCCTCTGCTTTGTCCTTGTCCCTGCACACCATATGGACCGTACCACCTGTAGAGGGGATGGGGGATAACAGTAGAGCAAGAGTGGCTGAACCAGGGGTGTATTCAGTGCGGTGAAACGTGATGATTCTCTTCCTCCAAAGACACACATGCACGCACTGACTCACACTTACACACACACACACACACTCTCTCTCTCTCTACTCTACAGACACACACCATACCTCTCTTGGCGATGGCCATGGCTGTAGCTCTCCCTATGCCACTGTTGGCCCCAGTGATCATGAAGACCCTGCCTGCCATGGACACCTCCAGGTCCTTTTCCACAAAGCGCTTGGCTGCAGAGAGGAACGCACTCCTGCAACACACACAGGTAGACAGACAGCAGTCAGGTGGAGGATATTCATCCACTGCTCCACTCCACAGGGTGGTAGAGGGTGACTGAGGAGCTCAGTAACAATACACCCCTTTCGACTTGAAATAATTGATTGAATGATTGATTGAAAACAGATTAGAAGAAAGTAGGTCAGTGCCAGTGCACATAGATGTCCTGGGGTCCAATAGGTTCCGAGCAGGGAGACCGCATCTAAAATGAAACAAATTCCAAAGAGTTTAGATATTCAGTCAGAAAGACAAAGGTCTAACAAAGAGAAAGACTGTCACATCATCTCTTAGGTAATGTGAGAAGGAGAGAGGAGGTGGATCTGAGGCCACCGCTGTGGACAGCGACAGCGGCCTGTGGGCGGCGTCAAGGGGTTCAATGGCTGCCATTGTTCCCAATGGGGGGATTAAAGGAGCGAGGCGGCGCCGTGCTTAGGGATTGTTTTGGGCTAAATGCATGCTCTGTTTGGTGGTGTCACGCAGCGTAAACACTAGTGGAGTCCAGGGTCAGAGAGACTGGTTGGTCTCTGCAAGAAAACACAACATTGAACAAAGGAAGTGCTGAACAAATGACAAAGGCATCTCTTCAGTTGGATTGGATTGTTGTTTAGAATGAGGAAGGGCAGTGTGTGGTCTGATGCTATTGGTAAGCCATTTATCAACAGTTCCACATGATTGCCTTGAGCTTGTGGATTTCCAAATAAGATTGTAAGCTTTCTAATTAGCATTGATGACCCAATTTATTTAGTAATATGATGGCAAAAGGTAAACGGTTCTTCAACAGTTTTGTCCATTTAGTGGTTTTGACATCACACAGCAGTAAAGGCCCAGGCACTATTTTGCAGATCTTGGAGCAGTTTTGCCTATCTTGATTCTTAATCAATGAGGGTGGAAAAATCTAGAATCTATCTGAACCACTGTGATGTTCACTGTGATGAATTGAATACTATCATGCCAAAGGATGAACACCCATAGAAAGAGAGAGAGAGAGAGAGAGAGAGAGAGAGAGAGAGAGAGAGAGAGCGAGAGAGCGAGAGAGAGAATATACACATTGTTCTGGAAATAGGAAAGATGTCTTTTGAATCATTCAGTTTTATACATTTGATTGATTTAGTGGGATTTGATTCCATGAAATAACCGAATCAACCATAACACATCTGTGCGTATGGACCCAACAGGTGGGGGACCACTGATCAATTGCCTACAGTCCTCCAGAGTAAATATAAAAGCATCAATGCTATGATGATGACAAAAACACCATAGCGGAGCAAATCTTACCTGGTGAATTCAGTCATTCCTTTCAGAAACCAAGCGGAGTTGCGGTAAAGAGACATCGTTGTATTACCCATGGAATCCTCTCGTCCCGCCGTCCCGTTATTGCACGCTCTCCTCCGGTTTTAACTTGGGCCAAACCCACGTGTTTGAATTGACATTGGATGACACCCAGCGGCGAGTAGGGATAAACAACTGAAGCACAATCAAATTCAGTGTCAACTGGTGTCAGCTCGACACTTTCCTTGATGTCTATAGGCTTGAATTAATGAAATAAAATATATTTCCTACTGAATCTTCAATAGGCTTACATGGCAAATTCAGGAGTTGCATGCACAGTATTTGTAATTTCAATTTCAACAACCGCATATTTCAGTAACATAAGAACATTTTATCAGGGAATTATTGATAATACTTCTGGGGGAAATTAGGCTATTTTAGGCATGTAGTCTACAAAAAAAAAAAGCCAAAAGAACACGCAATATGTCTGGAAATGAAAGATTAGACCCACATAATTTGGTTTGACAAACAGGATGGTATCTACATTTGATCATAAACCAGAGTGTACAGGACACTACAATGCACCTTGCCCAGGAAGCTCCTGTGACAGGTGTGAACCAATCTCGACAAAGCAAAGCAAATAACTGGGCGCGACACAGTCTAGAGGTGTGGTTTCGCAATTTAACCCACAGCATTGTGGGAAGGTTGACGATGCCCGTCCATATGAATCGGTTTTACGCAAGAGTTTAGATAACATATTTTCCCTCAAGTGTCGGCCTTAGCCTCATATTGCAGCTTCACGATGGTGAGTAAAATGTCGGCTTTTGGTGTCATGTTCAAGTTTGGACATATTTTACAGGGCAAGTAAATTCTCTCTGTGGAACATGCACCTGTCCAAAAGGTGAGTAACTATGTGGTCTATGGCGGTCAGTCTGCGCATAACGACTATTAAAGCTAGCACTTGCACACAGGCTACGCTACAGCACACTCAGTTCCTTTGGCTTGTCCTTGCACTTGAGTCTTGTCGTCTCCACCTGTTTGCCCGGAGGCTACAGTAGCCTAAAGAAGCGTTGCTAGCTGGCACCACTGAAACCACCTCTCCCACTTGAACAGTTGTGCCTTCTGTCTTGCTTAAGAAGCTCTTTATCAATGGGTTGTTGCACAATGTCTTGTTTTTATAGTAGAACATCTTGAAAGTAATGTGTAAGTTAAATTTTTGCTTAAACTGTCCATTATAAGTCTGACTGTGGAGAATAGTGAAATATTGTTTATGTCTGGCACAACAACCACTTATTAGTTAGAAGTGTTGTTTTGAATTGTGGTTTGGATTGAAGCACTTCATCTAGGCCTAATGAGTGTGTAATTGTGGGGTGTGTCCAACGTGTCTGAGTATGTGTGAGTGAGTAGCCTTCATGAATGTATCAGTGTATTTCTGTGTATGTGAATATGTATTAATGCAGTTACTGATTAACTAGGCGTTAACAACATGGTTTGACCTGAGTGACACCAGAGAGAACCTAATGAACAAGAGGAACTGTTCTGCTTCAATCTGTTGCCTGCAATAATACCCATTCTATTTCTATGATTTGGGTCCCATGCGGGTCAACTTCCTGCCCCCTCTCCCCACAGATGCGCTTCCTGCTGCTGTTCAGCCGGCAGGGGAAGCTGCGACTGCAGAAGTGGTTCACTCCGGTGACGGAGAGAGAGAAAAAGAAGGTGATCAGGGAAATGACTCTGATGGTGTTGGCTCGCCCTCCCCGCTCCTGTAACTTCCTCCACTGGAGGGACCTCAAGATTGTTTACAAGAGGTGACTGAGGAAGAAGAATCTCTGTTTGAGTCTGAGCTGGATCTGTCTGTGGTTTACCTTCGATCGCTTTCTCTTATACCCCTTCTCTCTGTCTCTGATTTGCTTTATTTGGCAGATTATTTGTTTTCCTATGTTTGACTTCTGTCTTTTCTTCTTTTGTCTGTTTCTCTGTTGACCCCTATTGCTGTCTGTGTTTCTCTCCCTCTCACTATTGTCTCTGGGCTGAAACAGACTATGGTGCCTGTGTACTGTAGGGGTGTGGAGGGAGGGAGGTGAGGGATGGGGGAGGGAGGGAGGGAGGGAGGGAGGGAGGGAGGGAGGGAGGGAGGGAGAGAGGGAGGGGGGGAGGGGGTAGACTAGAACCATCCTTGGCCATGTTATTAGTGGTTAATGTTTAACCTCCTAAACCCATCCTCCTCACCAATCCTTCTTACACACACATGCAAACACACACAAAAAAAACATACGCGTGCACACGCCCAAGTTAAAGTTAAATATACACTGAGTGTACAAAACATTAGGAACACCTTCCTAATATTGAGTTTCACCCCCTTTTTCCCTCAGAACAGCCTCAATTTGTCAAAGCATGGACTCTACAAGGTGTCAAAAGCATTCCACAGGGATGCTGGCCCATGTTGACTCCAATGTTTCCCACAGTTGTCAAGTTGGCTGGATGTCCTTTGGGTGGTGAACCATTCTTGATTCACACGGGAAACTGTTGAGCGTGAAAAACCTAGCAGCGCTGCTGTTCTTGACACACTCAAACCAGTGCGCCTGGCACCTACTACCATACCTCATTCAAAGGCACTTTCACCCTCTGAATGGCACACATACACAATCCATGTCTCAATAAAAGTCCTTTAACCTGTCTCCTTCCCTTCATCTACACTGATTTGAAGTGGATTTAACAAGTGACAATCAATAAAGGATCAAAGCTTTCACCTGGATTCACTTGGTCAGTCTGTCATGGAAAGAGCAGGTGTTTCTAATGTTTTGTACACTGCGTACATGTTAAACACATAACAGACGAGCAGATTGTTCTACCCTTACAGTCACTATATGGCTTAACCTTAAGCATTAACCTCTATGGTAAAGTGATTTGCATATAAACATAACAACCGTAACCCTGTTCCTTGACCTCTGAACCCCTGACCCCTTGCTCCCTTGAAGGTATGCCAGCCTCTACTTCTGCTGTGGTCTGGAGGACCAGGACAATGAACTGTTGACCCTGGAGGTGCTGCATCGATATGTCGAGCTGCTGGACAAATACTTTGGCAATGTAAGCATAATGTACAGGCAATGTAAGGGCTATTCATTGGCAGGTGAAGGTCTCTGGGGGCAAGTTGAAAGAGAACACAGGGAAAGTATAGGTTAAATTGGTGAATAGAAACTAAATGTTAAGGTCTATGTGCTTTTACAATATTTTCAACATTGTATAATCTTAATGGTGTCTATTTCCTCAGCGATGTGCTGTTGTGTCGCCCTGTCTGCTCTGTGTCGCCCTGTCTGCTCTGTGTCGCCCTGTCTGCTCTGTGTCGCCCTGTCTGCTCTGTGTCGCCCTGTCTGCTCTGTGTCGCCCTGTCTGCTCTGTGTCGCCCTGTCTGCTCTGTGTCGCCCTGTCTGCTCTGCTACATGTGTGTGGGTTGGATATCATCTTTAACTTTGACAAGGCCTACTTCATCGTGTGTGTGCACGTTTTAGTCCCCTCAAGAATAGTAAACCAACTAAAATTCAGAGAAGTGTGGACATTTTGCCGGTCCTCAATTGTAAAAAGGCTATTTTAGGCTTAGGGGTTAGAGTTAGGATTAGGGGTTAAGGTTAGGGCTAGTGTTAGGTTGGGGTTAGGGAAAATAGGATTTTGAATGGGACTCAATTAATGGTCCCCAAAAAGACCTGTGTCTGTGCGTGCGTGTGGTTATTAGGGAATTACATGAAAAGTGGAGGCTTGTGCTGAAAGTAAAATGATGTGGTTGGTCTATCAGTAAAATACATCAACAGACACACTGAGACTCCACTCTAATCTATTGTTACAATGACAAAACAGAAGCGATCTGAAAGTGTATCATGAATCAGGATCCATAGTAAACAAATCATGCTACCATACTCATCTATCGGAGTGCTGACTCCCAACAGAAAATGTATGATTGAAAGTGACGGCGTCACCCTGATGTGCGCCAGACAGGACTCGACAGGCAACCAAAATATAAGACCACTGGCTGACGACAGCCCCGTCACAGGCACCTCCCGTAGCGCACGGTCTCTTTCTGCAGTCCCCTGCAACCCTGCCTCATTCTTTGGTCCAACGATGGAATTTAACTATGGACATGTGCATGCGCGCTGCAGGTGTGTGAGCTGGACATCATCTTTAACTTTGAGAAGGCCTACTTCATCCTGGATGAGTTCCTGATGGGAGGAGAGATCCTGGAGACCTCTAAGACAGCTGTGGGCACTGCTATAGAGGAGGCAGAGACACTACAGGAGGTGACACACACATACACATGCACACACACACAGTCACTTAAGTGTGACACACTTGCCTAAATATTTAAATATGTTTTTTCTGTTCTCTCAACAGACAATGGAGGAGTATATGAGTAAGCCGACCTACTGAACCTATAACAGGGACGTGAGTCGAATCTTGAGACTGAAGAATCCTTTCCTCAATCGCCATAAGTGCCAAAACATTTAAACGATTAAACTGTAGTACACTCTTCCATTCAGACAGCATACATAGTCTGTTGTTTTATATAAGCACCTTCTAAAAGATGCATTAGGAGTTTTTATAATTTAGGAGTTCGTTTTAAAACAGTTTTACTTTTTTAACTTTGAGATCTTTTCAAATGTGTTTTTAGTTTAAATTATTTGCTAATTACATTATATTTGATAGGATCATACATGTTTTAAAATAATTGTAGCCTACTTTGCCTTATGTGATTTTCAAGCAAATCAATGTTATTTTAGAATATTGCTGCTGCATTTTCAAATGTTTTAATTCAGTTGTGAGTTGATCCAAAGGATTGTAACCACAACTTCTTACCATTTTGAAAGTCACATTTATTATTGTAATTCTATGTTGGCTAACGTAGCCATTGCCTACACAAGCATAGTGCCTTATTGTAATATTTCTCAGTAGTCAAGCTATAGCCAGAGGGTTCTAAGACTGAAGCTAAAGGTGGATGTTTTGGAAAGTGGTGCCTACTCACAGTACCGTTAAAGTTGTACGGTCTGAATAAATAGTTTTTTAAATGTTAGTTAGGGTATGTTGTTTCCAACTTTTGTAAATGGATTATCGCTACTTTATTAGAATATATCTCTTGGTTTTATAGCTGGAATTGACAAGGACTACCCTGCTTGCCCCAGGCTAAGAAATGTGTTGTCTTAGTTCGTTGCGACCGGAGCTGTCCATGGTGCTAAAATCATAGAAATAGAATGTCATTCCATGTGGCTGAAATGCCCAACTTCACGTTTGCTCATTATTGTAGCTTCAAATTGCCCAAATTGATTACAATATACTAATAGCTTACCTGTCAAACTAAGATGTTTGATTGATCGAGGCTACATATCGTTGTTGCTGACACATCGAGGTAGATGGTGTTTTGAATGTGATATTCTGCAGCTTGTTCACCATCTTTGCGCTCCAAATGAGTAAACACTACACAGTAAGGAAAAAATAAAGTCAATGCTTTATTAACCTCATACGTCACACATTACCGAACACATGTACGAAATATAATTTACGAGGAAGAACACAAGTGGATGTAAAGAATCCAACACTGATTCGGCTGTATGTGCGCTGAAATGTACGGCTAGTATAAAGTGGTGTGTTGTTTTAACTAGCCTATCAAAAACATTGAATATTATGCAACACACCCAGTTACAACCACGAATAGGCACTCCCTTGTAGCTACATCAGATCAAGTTCATGTATAAATTGGCTATTAAAGCATGAGCTTTAATAAATCTACTGAATAGACTAAACTCCATTGCATGTATTTATTTTTCAAAATACTTTATTATGATTTCCCCCCCTTCAAAACAATTATATAATATGTATCTGCATCCCCACCATCTACATTCCTTTGACAGATTTGGCATAAAGGTCCTTATCTTCGCCCTCTTCGGTCTCTGGGTTCAGATAGCCTAGAATTTTCAGCAGCGTGTCGTCATCCAAGCCCTGCGTTTGTGAAGCATCGCCTGTATCCTCCTCGGGTTCTGACTGTCTTTTCTGAGGCGGGCTTCTGTCTGAGTCCATTTGGTCAAAGTAGTCCTGTATCGCCTGCTCAAACTTTCCCAGCACAAGCTGATCATCTTGTGAGCGAGGCTGCGAGGCACGCTTTTTTTGGTCTGCCTTGTTTGCTACCTGCGGATACTGCACCAACATCTGGGCAGCCAGATACGTTGATAGCTCGTCTTCATCGACAGTGTTGTCGTAGTCGTCCTTTCCTTTCTCTGGGACATTTGGCTCAGAGAACATGTAGTCTCTCTGCCTTCCAGCTGGCGCGTAAAACCTGGACGGCGGGCTTGTATGCTGTTTCTGCTTCTTAAGCGCGTGTGCGTTCTGATTTGCCACGCTTCCCAGCCCGAGGATTTTTAGAATGTCTTCTGTGTTTATTTCTTCCGGGACGTTGCTTGTTTGGGTCTCAGGCAGCCGTCTGTTGAAGAATGTCTCTGGAGGGATCTTATTTTTCTTAGAGGAAATGTGAGTTAGTTTGTCCTCTACCTTGGCCAGATCGTTGGGTGTCTGAGAATGTGCTTGTGTCCTCAGTGGTGTCCTGGCCTGTTTTGTCATCTCCCCACTCTTCAGCATGTCCATCAGGTCTTCTGGTGGGATCTGTAGTTTCTGGGAGATTTGGATGAGCTGGTAAATGGCCTGTGGATCTACCTTGTCGCTGTGCTGAGTTTGAGCTGCCCTCCTCTCTTCCCTCTCCTCCTCCTCCTCTTCTAGCTCTCTCTTCCGCTCCTGCTCTGTTTTCTCCAGCACCTTCAGAAGGTAGTAGTCGACCAGTTTGGTGATGTCATCTGGGTCATGTTCTCCCGGACCCGGCTGGCTCGATCGCTTGACCTCATCAATCCCCTCTTCTTCATCATCCTCTTCATCATCCTTCAAGCCTCTGTTGAACGCCTGCCTGTTGTCTCTCTCCTCTTCCTCCATCTCCACCTGCTCCTCTAAGGGCGTCCAGTCCTCTCCCCCCATCACATCCTCATAGGCCAGGTTCCTCACCCGGAACATGTCATCATCATCATCATCCTCCACTTCATCATAATCATCCTCATCATCCTCAGTCTGGCGTTTGTGTCCAGCCTTGGCGTTGGCTATCCTCCCCAGTTCCTCAAACACAGACTGCAGGTTGGCCAGGTTCTGGGGTGTGTACTTCCCCTCCATGTTCTCATTGGTGCGTTTGAAGGGGCTCTCGGGGCCCGGGGCTCTGCCTTCTTCCTCACCGTCCTCATCTTCAAACATCAGCGGGTACTTCCTGTAAGACCGGCTGGCATGCTGCTGCTGCGACCATGGATACGCCACGCCCTCTCCCACCTGGCTCTCCTCCTCCTTCGCCGGTCTCCGCCCTTTGCCTAGAGCCTGGCGGGCTACACTGGGCCTCACAGGGGCTGGCTTGGGGCCCTTCTCGGTCTGCTGGAGGGTACTCAGCACCGCCTGCAGCCACTCCTGAGTCTTGTCCTCCTTTTTGCGCTCCCCTTCCTCATCCTCCTCATCATCTTGGTCCTGGCCGATCTTACTCTGACTGGTCTGGGTAGGAGAGGCTAGCCTCAGCATTGAGCGGAGTTTCTCTGAGTCTAAGTCTATGTTGGTGGTGTCGTAGTCTGGGGTGAGGGGAGCCTGATCCTGGGGGGCTGACACCACTGCCCCGGTACTCTGGCGGAGGCTCTCAATGTACTCCAGGGCCTTGAGCATGTCTGCGTTGGTGGGGAGGTAGGGGGCGTCTCTTTGCTGGGGGTCCAGCTCACTGCCCCTCAGTCTGTGTTCTCTGAGAGAGGCCCCCTGGACACTGCCAGAGCCCAGGAGGAGGGGGAGCAGGGAGAGGAGGAAGGCCATCCCTGCCGAGGAGAGCTTGGGGAGTGACGGCATGGTGTCTTCAGCCTGGAGACAGACACAGCAGGGAGAGAAGTGTCAGAGCTGACCTTTTATGTTTAGGATAAGATTTTTCACTGGTCAGACCGTTATGTACTTATTTCTTTCAAACAAGAATATGTTAAAGGATTGTGCAGTCAAAAAGTGTGATTTTCCTGTGTTTTTTATATATATATTTCCACACTGAGGTTGGAATAATCCTATGATAATGCTCTTTTTGGTGTAAGAGCTGTTTGAAAAGACTGCCTGAAATATCAGCCTGTTTTGATGGGATGGAGTTTTGGCCACCCTGGTGACATCACCAGGTGGTAAATTAGTTAATAGACCAATAAGAAAGAGTTCCAAACCTCTCTACCAATAACAGCTAGTTTTCAGTTTTCCCCTTCTCACTCCCAGACAGTCCTAGCAAAATTCATGCTTGAGAAATTGCTCTTTACTAAGAAGCTATTTTTGTTTCTTTTTACCATTTTAATTTAATATAATCCCAGTAAGATACCTACTTAATTGTTACCCAGATATTATTTCATATTAAGATCAAAATGGCTGCATTGGACCTTTTTTAATGATAAGGCCAGTTTAAAGGCTTTTGTAATGATCAGCTCTCATGATCCTCATTGAAATTCTAAAACCTTTCATTTTCAGACCTGCCATTTATTCCCGTTTGATGCTTCAGCTGTATTGCTATAGCTTACTAGTGGTAGTTATCTGAAATGAGGTTTTGTCACTCTAGAATTCTGCCAGTAGCTGCAGTTTTTATCCAGAGAATGAAAATCACATCTGTTGAAAGCCCAAATGATTGTTTGCGGAGCAGTAATACCATGGGCATTCAGCTCGCCTGTAAATCTCATTAGTTTTCATATTGCTGCCTTCCGGAATGAGTCACAATCTAGTTGTCTAGGTAACCCTTCGGCTGATGCTGGCTGCTGTCGAAACACAACTACCTACACCCAAAACATCTCCAGCGGACTAAAACGCTATTGTGTTGCACAAGCTTTTTACTGAGAAAATGCAATGGAACTTTATAATCATACACCTAATTTGGATACATTATAAACCAACTAGTGGATTAATTGGTTTTGAAATCAAATTGTTTAAATTAGGCTACTTATCTGCTTAGCCTACATAATAAAAACTACAACTTACTTTTGCAAATCACTAAAAACGAAAACCATAATAAACTTGAATAGTTAATATAAAACAGATTTTGCATCTCTTCACTGCGGCAGACCTGTTTGCAATGCATCAGGTTGGTTGCAAAGCTAAACGGATTTTAAAATGGACAAACATATTAAAATAACTGAAAATAGTGACATTGAATTCCATTTTCTCAAAACAAGTATAATTTCGATGTAGGCCCTATATAAAGTCTTACCTCTGCAAAATAGTTTCAAGTGATAGTCGTGAGTGAATTTAGCTTCTCTTTCTCAGTGTGAGCGCGAGCAGGGATTCTCTGTGTTCAGCACCGGGGACAGCTCCTCCCATTATATGAGGCGCCACCTGACTTGTGCGTCACTGCGACATACGCAATACTAGATCCAAAGAAACAAACAAACATGATTAGAACTGGTTCACATTTGTTCAATTATTTTCTAATCTCTTCACCTCAACTTTCAATTGGAAATGCTTATGTTATCACTGTTTTGTTATCATGTCTAATTATGTTGGTTGTTAACCAATAGCATAATATAATATGCCATTTAGCAGACGCTTTTATTTTACATTTTATTCATTTAGCAGACGCTCTTATCCAGAGCGACTTACAGTTAGTGAGTGCATACATTATTTTTTTAAATACTGGCCCCCGTGGGAATCGAACCCACAACCCTGGCGTTGCAAACGCCATGCTCTACCAACTGAGCTACATCCCTGCCGGCCATTCCCTCCCCTACCCTGGACGACGCTGGGCCAATTGTGCGCCGCCCCATGGGTCTCAAAGCGACTGACAGTCATGCGTGCATAATATTTTTGTGTATGGGTGGTCCCGGGGATCGAACCCACTACCTTGGCGTTACAAGCGTCGTGCTCTACCAGCTGAGGTACAGAGGACCACATGACTAATATATCTAATATCTGGACATTTTAAGGGCATGATTAATTTGCTCACAGCACAATGTCTATTTAGATGGTCATAGACCTATACAACCATGCCTACGGGTTCTCCAGATAGAGTATAGGCTAATTATAGATTATAATACTTTGTGCCATGGATTTAAGCCTACATGAGGCATTTCGTATGCAAATTAAACATTTGTGTAGGCTATTACAGAAACGCTGCACAGCATTTTGGATAATAATGTGGGCCAGGCAAGGAGAAATGCAACATCTATTGATTTAAAACATATTGGTAGAGATCACTTCCTGTTCCCGTATCCTCCTAATCAGGTAGCCTACCATAACTGCTGATGTTCGCAGTAAATTGTGATTTATACCTATGCGTCAACAAAAAGGCGCTCGCGGGCGTCCCTCGCGACAGAGAGTAAAGTCCATCGATGACTCACTCACGCCCAAGATCGGCCAAAGAATGAGGCGGGGTGATGAGGACTGCAGAGAAACCGTGCGCTACGGGAGGTGCCTGTGACGGGGCTGTCGTCAGCCAGTGGTCTTATATTTTGGTTGCCTGTCAAGTCCTGTCTGGCACACATCAGGGTGACGCCGTCACTTTCAATCATACATTTCAGTTGGGATTCGGCACTCAGATGTGTACGGTAGTATGATTTGTTTACCTGATTCCAGATACGCTTTCAGATATCGCTTCTGTTTTGCCATTTTAACAATTAGATTAGAGTCGTGTCTCAGTGTGTCTGTATACGTCTGTTGATGTATTTGGCTGATAGACCAACCATATTTTAAATTCAGCACAAGCCTCCACTTTTCATGTAATTCCCTAATTACCGCATGCACGCAAGCATGCGCAAACATATACACACACACACACACACACACACACACACACCAAGCAGTAAAGGACGTAAGACTCAAGCAGCTTGGCTAATTGCTTGTGGTTGTGGCGGTGCTCCGGGTAAACAGAAACCAATTACCACCCAGTTCCACCCTCTCCCTCCTCCTACAGCCCATCCGCCCAAAACACGGGCCTTTAGGGTCAAATAGAAACTTTCTTGCTGGCATTTAATTAGCAGCAGTCTCAAGTGTAACTACAGACATACACATATTGGTGTCATATCTTTTGTAAGTAGTATTTGCATATGTTCCACCATCTGTTTGATGTGATATAACATTGTATCAGCCTATTAGAGAGACATAACCTGCTGTCTCCAAGTGCCTCAGATACTAATCAACCTGCTTCATCCTAGGGTGTAGCCTAAAGATGCTCTCTAATTTCAATAAGATAACATCAGTGAATTTCTGGCCAATTTGTTCTTAATGCTTGTTTGGCATCATACAGACATTGATCTGTAGTAGGCTATTGTTCTGTTCAGTATCAGTAATACACAGACATCTGACACATCTATACTAATCCTATTTGAATTGATCTAATCGATCAAATTGATTCCAATGCCATACCAATTATTCATATCACTGAAGATGTCATATCATAGGGAAACTGCATCATGACAATGATACTGCTCGTTAACCCCAGCTGTCAATGTCCTGGCAGGGTGGATCGAGAGGGGGAGAGAGACCAGAGAGAGAGAGGCAGAGAGATACAGGGCGAGAAGGATAAATTGTATTGGTCTAGGAGCTTTGTCATCAATGGCTCAATTTACAGGTAGGTCATGTCCCTCTTTGTGTGTGTATGTATGATATGGGCTGGTTGTCTCAGCAGTTGTCAGCATGTGTGTTATGACAAGTTTCTCTGGTATCGAGTACTTCAGGATATAAGAGAATATGGGACACAGATGGAGAGTTGATTCAGTCATTATTTAATGCAGTACTGGATTCAATGACGGGTGGTACAGACGTAGCCTCTTGTCATCTGAATGAATTACATAGAAAATCTCTCAGTTTATATAATGCTCTCCGAGCTACTTCTGTCCATCATCTGCCAACCATCATTGAGTGTCACACATCTCCTACAATAGTATCCCCATACATGGTATCGTGTGGCACCCTAGCCAGGCCATTCCATCACATACTCCTTCTAAGATTATCACAAGTGGCCCCCAATCTATTTTGGCACACCGACCCTCTGTCACTCACCAGTGACCTCTATAACACATGGCGTTTCCTTGTCCTCTCTCCCACATGCAGCTCAGGAGTTTACAAACATGAATGAATCCTGTATCAAAAGTTGTTATATCACTGTGTTTGCATATTTCTCTGTCTGTGTGGGGGGCATGAACATGAGTCACTGAATTCTGTACATCTGTGGCAATGGCAATGGCAATTTGCTTCAGATATACATATTGTGTGTGTGTGTGTGTGTGTGTGTGTGTGTGTGTGTGTGTGTGAGTGACGCACTTGAGTGTGGGAAGACTATTACATTCTTTCAATATGCTCCAGCCTCCAGAACGCCATATGCACGCTCATCAATGTGGCATAGGCCTTATAATTGTGAGGGGATTTACAGGTAGATTACAAAAGCGTCAGTATTATCAAGGAGGTTTTAATGTCACGCGCACAAGTACGGTGAAATGCCTTTCTTGCAAGCTCTAAACCCAACAATGCAGTAATCAATAACAATTTAATACTAAAAATAACATAAGGTAGAACAAAAACACAAGATAAATAAAAATAAGAAATAAGAAGAACAGGAGAAATGAAGTAAGCATACTATATGAAGGGTCAGTCAGTTCCAGTACCAGATGGATCCTGGATCGATAGAGGTAGATATGTATAGGGGTAACATGTCTAACCTTATATATGTGTAATTTGTGAGGCGTTTGTTGATGTAGTTGTACCTCGACATACTACTCTTACATAAATGTACCCTTTTTTTATTTTTCTGTTTTCATCTCCCGCTAAAAAAGGAACAACATGTTTTCATTTCTACAAGAGGATGAGTCAGACAGCTTTTTTTACAGACAGATGAGAGAGAA